CCTCCCTGCCCCGGCCGCTCTGGGTCCCCGGCTGCCTCCTGCAGTGTTTCTCTCTCCTTGCAGCGCTGATCCCCCTCGACGAAGTCCGAGCTGAGTGGGAGAAGACCAGCGGCCCGTTCCACAAGCAGCGCGTGGCGCAGCACTGCGGAATATTTCGTGACTTGTTCAAGGGGGCCACGTTCACCCCCTGGGTTACCTTGAGGGTGGAGTACAGCCAAGAAGACGAGTACCTCGTGCCGGTCTACTATGGGAACATCGTGACTCCGTCAGAGGTGCGTGAGGGGAGCTGGGAGCAACCTCAGCCCCACGGGGAGCCTGGGTGGTTTGGTCAGATGCTTCTGTGGGCACTGTTTGTTCTGGGGGATTTCTTTCACAGGGGTGTTTCCTCTGTGATGAAGGAAAGGTGTTTCGTGGATGCGATAAGGATAGAGCCTTGCGATAGGATTGTCGTCTGTCAGCAGGCTGATGTCTATTAACGCTCCGGGGGGCTCTCCAGGTGGAGCTGGATTACTCGGATGGCGTGGCTGTGCCCAGTTCATATTCTTTGTCTTGGAAATCATGACCTGGTCTTAATGGAACCTGTTGTTTGAGTGATTTACATTCTCTTTGTGTTGCTCATTTAGGCTTCCAGTCCCCCTGCAGTGTCATATGAGGCAGATAAAAGCTCCCTCTGGACTTTGTTGCTCACAAATCCAGGTGAGTAGCAGGTTCTTTAAAAAGAACTCATTTAAAGGGGGTTGTTTCACTCTGCTTTTGGTTAGCTCCTGTTTCTTTCGGCTGTACAGTATCTTCTAAGTAGTGAGCTATTACATATGCAGGAAAGACTGCAGCCTCCCCAAACCTCTAGCAGTTGAGAGATGGGACAGTGATGCAACAGGACCCGTGTCGCGGTGTAGTGGGAGCAGTTCCCTGACGCCCATCTTTCGCTGACCCCCAAACTCTTCTCTCCCTCGGCCATCTGCCGGGGAAGGAGGTTAGCTGACGCTGTTCGCCCAGAGAAACCAAGGCACAGTGAGGCGAAGCAGCTGACCAAGAAGTCCTTTTAATCTTGGAATTACATCTGTGGAGTTCTTTGCTCCTCGTTTTAAGCTCAGTCCTATAAGAATGAGTTACTTTTCTGCTAGGAAAGGAATGCTGGGAGGTCTCGAGCTGCTGCCTCTGTTCCAGGGGGGTCTGGGCGTTCTCGCTTTGGGGTTGATGCAAACACCAGGTTGTCACTAAGCCGCTTTTCTCTGTTGTGTGCGTTTGCAGATGGACATTTAAGAGACACGGACTCGGAGTACCTCCACTGGCTGGTGTGAGTACTGCACATCGGAGACGCATGCTGCTTAGCAGAAACTCTTCTCCCAGAGCTCAGGAATAAGTATTTGCTAAGACCGTTCCGTGGCTGTCTCTGGTGCTCCTGCCGCTAGCTTCTTTAGCCGTGTTCTGGGTCCTGCTAAAGATGCAGTAGTTCCAGGTGTTGCTGCTGTTTGGCATTCAAAACACTGGCTGTGATTTTTCTTCCAGTGAAAGCAGCCTCTACTATCTGTTCGCTTGTCAAACAGGGCGTAAGTCACGTCAAACCGTAGCACAGAGTGATCTGCAATCCTGGGTGAATCTGCTGGTCCTGATGGAGGGAAATGAATGGGTATATGGTGACGTAAACTTCTTTGTGTGCAGGACAAACATCCCGGGCAATGACATCAAGTCGGGTAAGGAGATCTGTCATTACTTGCCCCCCTTCCCTGCCATGGGAACTGGCTACCATCGCTTCGTCTTCCTCCTCTTCAAGCAAGACTGCCCCATAGATTTCAGCGAGGATGTTCGGCCGATGCCGTGGTAATTCAGGCTTTCACTGGGCAGCTGCACACTCGCTTGGCTGGGCTGTTACTGCTTGTGAGGATATGTTTGTTACTGCTGTAGGAGAGCAGTTCCTTTTAATCTGCAGGGTTGTTCAGGGCTGCTTTGAGTTTGTGTGTCACCTGGAGCCACAGTCCCAGCCCTGCAAGCACTGCGGAGTCCTGTTGCTTTAAACCAGGCTGTTAAAAAAGTGTTTTTTTCCTGCCTGGGGCAGAAATGGGCACAGAGCTGGAGAAGCTGGGACGTTTTTTTTGGTGACTTCCTTTTCCACCTCTGCTTTATAGACTCTGGGACGATGTGGGGAAGCGGTTGCCTACCAGAGTGCTGCAGGAGAAGAGGTTCACCTCGGCTCTTGTGCTTCTGTCTTGTTTCCAGCCACAGCCTGAAGATGCGAACCTTTAGCACGTTTGACTTCTACAGAAAGCACGAGGATGCAATGACCCCAGCAGGGCTGGCGTTTTTCCAGTGTCAGTGGGACAGCTCCGTTACTTGGGTCTTCCATCAGCTTCTCAGTAAGAAACGCAGCGTGCGGGGATGCGGGAGGGGGCCCGTCCGTGGCCCTGCGGGTACCGCACAGGGTCAGGGAAGCGAGCTCCGGCTGTAGGCTCTTGCTTGGTCCTGGCCCTTGCCTAGGGTCTGTTACAGCCCAGACCAGGTGCTTAGCGAGCCATCCCCCGCCAAACTAACAGCAGTCTGAGGAAACAACCTCTAAAAGGCCATTTTGAATGAACAATTGAAAATATCACCAAGAGAGCCTTCACCAGGGCGTGCTTGACCACGTGTGTGCACGGGAGCCCTCGCTGGTGGAGGAGAGGGCCTGGGGTTCGGATCTGAGCCGTCTTGCTGACGTTCTGTGTCACCCCTTTACAGATATGAGAGAGCCTGTGTTTGAATTCGTGCGGCCGCCCGTTTACCACCCTCCGCAGTTAAAGTTCCCGCGCCACCAGCCTCTGAGGTACCTGGACAGATACCGAGACACCACGGAGCCCACCTACGGCATTTACTAGGGGCCCGGCCTCCTCTCGAGGCGCTCTGGTGCGGGCTGCGGTGCCGGCCAGGCAGATGGGGCTGCCGGCTTCCCTGCGCTCACGCAGCCATGCAGCTGGGAGCCGCCTGCGCCTCTGGAGGGAAACGACAAAGTCTCAGCCCCTCGGCTCCCAGTTCCCCTGCGCTGGCAGTGCTGGGAAGCGCGCAGCTGGGAGCAAGAGGCGCTGGCAGCGCTGGCAGCTGTGTGGTCAAAGGGTGCTTGAAGGGGACGTTCGTGGATGAAAGCGAATCCGTGGCCAGGCTGGAATCTTGCTACTGATTCTGTAGCAGAGCTGATCAGGCAGGGCAGGGCAGAGGCCCCCCGAGAGGCCCTGTCTTGCTTCTCTGCAGGGATCACGGTTCTCCTTTTGCCTGTTTATGGAACAAGCAGAACCAGGCAGCCTGGATTTCCTCCCCTTACAGCGCTGCGATTCGGGACTGCGTCAGCTTTCATTTCTGCCGTCCTCTTAAAGAGATGGGTCTGATTAAACACACTCTGAGCGACGCTGGCGGCGCTGCCTTGTCTTTGTTGGGAAGAGCTTGGTGTCCCGGCCAGCTGCGCAGAGCTGGGGAGCTCAGCAGGGTGCAGGGCAGAGGGGCAGCCCTTCCCCTGGCCGGGGTCACTTTCCCCTCTTGGATGTTGCAGGGCGGGAA